GGACGTTTGGACAGTCAGAGAAGGAAAGACCAATTATGAGTTTATAACTAGGAGGCTAAGAGATAAAAAGTGTCCTTAAAGGACTTGAGATGAACAAAGGCCCAAATTTGGTCTGTAGACTGCCTAGTACAGGGCTACTCAACACATGGCCTATGGGCCACATGCGGCCTGCGGCCTGTTTGCAGCCCACAGTGCAGTTTGGGTTTACACAGGGTTCAACACGCAGCCTGCAGGTGGGAACCAAAACAAAAAAGTAGTCAATATAATGATCTTCTGTTGATATGAGTTTTAGTAGTTACATTCCTGGACTGTTATTGCTCATTAAAAGTGCTGTCATATAGGTAGAAATCAGGTAAATGTTGCATTTTATTAAAATCAGCAGAACTGATTTAAATGGGGCTTGTGTGTTGTGTAGTCTTGCCTTAATTTTTGTATTTATGCCTGTCAGTGTGAAAGAAGCTATTTGCATATATTTGCATATATATTTGCATGTCTATGCAACCACACTTAAGTTGTGGCACTCGGCATGTGCTGTGAGTGTCATTGTGGCTCCCGGGGCTTCCAAAGTTGAGTAGCTCTGGTCTAATACAAGGGGCATAGGGATACCCTAGGTATAATTTCCCAGGCAGGTTTTTCGATCAGTAACTTGCTCTCATCTCAACTTGTCTAGGTGAATTGAAATTCACTGGTTGAAATTCTGTTTAGTCAGTGGGCGTTTTGTTGTTCAGTTCTAAGGAGACAGGATTTCACCCACTATTTCTAGCAGGAGGGCTAGTTGCAAGGAATTCATCCTATCTATCTATCTATCTATCTATCTATCTATCTATCTATCTATCTATCTATCTATCTATCTATCTATCTATCTATCTATCTATCTATCTATCTATCTATCTATCTATCTATCTATCTATCTATCTATCTATCTATCTATCTATCTATCTATCTATCTATCTATCTATCTATCTATCTATCTATCTATCTATCTATCTATCTATCTATCTATCTATCTATCTATCTATCTATCTATCTATCTATCTATCTATCTATCTATCTATCTATCTATCTATCTATCTATCTATCTATCTATCTATCTATCTATCTATCTATCTATCTATCTATCTATCTATCTATCTATCTATCTATCTATCTATCTATCTATCTATCTATCTATCTATCTATCTATCTATCTATCTATCTATCTATCTATCTATCTATCTATCTATCTATCTATCTATCTATCTATCTATCTATCTATCTATCTATCTATCTATCTATCTATCTATCTATCTATCTATCTATCTATCTATCTATCTATCTATCTATCTATCTATCTATCTATACTGTGCTGGGTCAGGGATGTGCAAAACTCAGAATGCATAGGAATAACCATGACTGGTATCCTTCACCACCTGTGGATGTTTTCCTGAAACACTCTTAAGTCTTGTCTAGGCACAGATTTTGTGCCAGTATAACTATTCTGGGTGAGTGTGATTTCCCCAGCCAACCTACTCCCCAAAATAGTTACAGCCATAGAACCCCTCTATTTTGGAAACAGTAAATAAAAGGAACCTTATACT